TGATTGAGGATTCCTTGGATTGCAGCCATAGGACTCGGTCGGCCTCTGATGAGTAGTAGGGTCTTGCAGATGGTTTCTCCATCAACAGAAGGGCTTCACTGATGGGGTAGGACCCATCCCTCTACAAGAACCCCAGAAAGCTACACCTGTGGGGATGTGTCACATTTATAGTTTTTCTGAAGTATTTGGTGGTAAAAATAACATGTGTTGGACACAGGTCAGGAGAAGCTTGGGAGCCATCATGTCTTGTTGCATAACTAGAACTTGCATGATTTTCTCCCCCCCCCATTAATGTAAATTCAACAAGAAATAATAATAATTTTAAAGTCCAAACGCAAGATAGAAAATCAAAGAACCCCTAATTAACTCTCAAGAGTCAACTTAAGACCTGGCTCTTCAGGCAGGCCTTCCCCATTGTCAGTACTTGAGCTTTACTTCTTATTTTAATTTTCTGTCTTTACTTTTTCATTTCATTGCTTTTCCATCTTGAGCTACACTATTATTACTATGCTTAAATTGTGGTTGTATTGAGTGTTTGAATTGTTTTAATTCTACTTTGTTGTAAGCCGCCCAGAGTACACGATGTCTAGATGGGCGGGATATAAATTCAATAAATAAATAACTCTGGCCAGCAGAAGCTGGCCAGGTTTAGAAATGGCAGCCTCTCACATCCTCTTCAGTTTAATATTGGTTTGCCTTCTTTGCCTCTTAATAGGCATAGGCTTAATTTAACTATGAAGAGAGCAAAGAAATAGAACAGATATGTTACATATAGAATCAGAATCTAAAAAGATTTACACACATGAATTTTCTAGGATCCTTCTGTAGTTTGTATCATGACCCTCAGTCTTGCTAATACGGCATGCAAGATGCACTGTATTAGAAATAAGCCAAAATCAATGTAGTCTTTATACATGTAAAAAACTAAATAGTGAATAATTAAAAAGCCCAAATGATAGTGAAACAGGGTATAAATACAAATTTGACTCAGGTGAGGATATCTTTGAAGGCCTCTTGAAACACACCACCTCTTAAAAGATGGGAGGGAGGAGGTCTGGTGTACATCTGCCAGGATCCCATTCTATAAGGAAGGGATCAGCACCCAAAAGGCACAGTTTCTAATGACAGCCTTTTTTTGCCTCCCTTAGCGAAAAGCAGGATATCAGTCATTTTAAATAAATATATATGCAAAGAATTTTTTTTAATCATTAAGTGTAAAATCTTCTATGGGCTGCCTGGCTGGCTTGTGAGCTAATACAGGCCAAAGTAGTGCTGAAAGGACAGCTCCTTCATCTGTACCCTTTAGCTCTTCAGAAGAGAAATTCCAGTAGCAGCGGACTGAAATGGTTTTGTGCAAGAAGTGATGTGTCTGAGGAGATGCCAGCCTTATATTTTTTTTTGGGGGGGGGGAGAAGAAAAATTGCAGAACAGCGGGAGTAGTGAACAGCAGGTGGCTCTAGAAAATCAGCTCTGGGTAAAGACGGTCTCTTTCAATCCCTTTTCCAGTTTCACTGAGTTGCTTGGAGGCAAAACATGGACTCCAGCTGGGAGACTCAGCTACAACTTCATTTAATTGCAAGGAGATGAGTTCAAGGTAGAGTCTCCTCCGAATTTCTTCCCCTGTGGCTTCTTCCTGACTTTCAGATACATCTGAAACCCAAAGACCTGGTCCTCCCTTCCCCGTGATGCACATTGTCTGGAGGCAGCTAATTGCTTGTGATCACTGGCGCCAAGATGGAGCCATTGGGTCTCAAGTGCCAGAGGAGGTACACTCCCACTTTTCTCCTCTCATTAGCCTGCTGACAGCAGCTGGCTTGCATTTGTCTCCAGATGGATGGAGCAGGGGGGTTTCTGGAGCAGGGGGATTCAGGTTGAGGGTGAGAGGAAAGGCTGTTCCAGCAAGCACAGCTAAGATGATGAAATTGCTGGGCGATACTTGGTGGAGCCTTTAGAAAGCAACCCCCAATAAGAGACTGAATCAGCAGGGGATGCTCATCCCAGCGTTTCATGATCGGTTTTTCATCTACTGCCTCTAACTGCAAATGCCAGGGTCAAATGTGCAATGTTGTATTGTTCTGATTACACTTTATTGTTCTCTTCATATTTTTCTATACTGTATATCACTCAGACATCTGTAGATTTAATAAATAAGATAAATGCCTACTTGCAAGTGCTGTGTGAATGAACTCACAGAGCTGGGAGATTTCTTCTGAGAGGTTTAGATCAGTTTTATTAAGTTCAGTCCCAATGGCATTAAGAACATCCATTGGCTGGAAGATACATTTGATTTCTTGTCTTGAATTCATAAATGACAAAACAGAGAAAGGCTCAGATGCCCTTTTTTTAATGGCAGATATTAACACAAAAAAATGGAAAGGGGCAAATTGGCAAGAGGGATTTATAGTCTACACACAGGTCCAGGTGAGTGGAATGCCTTTTAAAACTGAGACAGATCAAACAGTCAAAGCAAAGCTTGGCTTTCCTGTGCTTCTGAAATATGTCATATGTGTTACATCTGCAGTTTTCTGACACTCACGTTGGCTTTTTGCGGCTTCCTGTGTTATCTTTGGAGCAATTCGTACAAGATTTCTAAGCATATGCCATACATTTTGTTGCTTAATTGATTTACTTCACTAAGTATCTTGTCGGTGAGCAGTTTAGTCATGAATATTTTAGAAGCAGCAGAGACAAGGCAACGGCAAGGTGGTACAGCCAACCAGAGCTCTGGTTCATTGCCAGTTTAAGAGATAAGGGGTGATGTCCCCCTATTATTTTCACCACCCAATCAACAGGACACTGTCTCTGTTTAACAGTTCCATTCATAAAGATTACTCTTGCACTATATGACAATAAATAAGGGACGGGTTAAACCACAGAAGCCTCTGTGCTGCAAAGTCAGAAGACCAAGCAGTCGTAAGATCAAATCCACACGACGGAGTGAGCTCCTGTCGCTTGTTCCAGCTCCTGCCAACCTAGCAGTTCAAAAGCATGTAAATGCAAGTAGATAAATAGGTACCACCACGGTGGGAAGGTCACAGCGTTCCGTGTCTAGTCACGCTGGCCACGTGACCACGGAAACTGTCTATGGACAAACGCTGGCTCTACGGCTTGGAAACGGGGATGAGCACCCTGCCCTAGAGTTGGGCACGTCTGAACTAAATGTCAAGGGGAACCCTTACCTTTACCTGTATGACAATAAAATCTAAAGTTACATGGTTTTCCCAATTTGAAGAGACCCTTGTCCAGCAGGCCGAGGCAAAGAGGCAGTCCTGAAACCAGCCAAATCAGGGAGCAGGACAGGGGACAGACTGTATTTGTCTTCAGTGTGGAAGGGAGGGTCACTCTCGAATTGGCCTTTTCAGCCACACTAGACGCTATTCCAAGTCCTCCATACAGAGCATGTTACCATAGTCTCTCGAGACTGAAGGATGCCTTATCTAATCTAATCTAATCTACTCTAATCTAATCTAATCTGCAAAACACTTTTCATTAGAACCTTGCCAGTCCTTCCTGCACACACATGCGTGCACATTCAGATTACTGTTTCCACTTTACAGGATAGTCACACAGTAAATGGGGATGGACTTTAATTTTGGGGGGAACCATGGGCCACTTTTTACATTGCCTGAGATATATGGGAAGCACTTCCATGTGGCTGAATCCCACCTTGCTCCACTAAGGCCAATGCGAAGGGGATTAGTCAATGCCTTGATTTCTTTCCATGGCAGCGTAGGACCCTTACCTTGGGGTTTGTGTGTCTGTGTGTATGACAAAGTGGAAAGGTTCTTAATTATGATGTCCCCTTATAATATCTTCCTAAAGGGGCAGAGGACCAAACCAGGCAGAAGTGGCTTTTACACAGATCATGTAACCCAGGTCTAATTTGTATGTGAATTACTTATTGACCCCCTACCCTCGTTCTCACGTTTGCAATGCCTTCTTTTCATTTCATTTTCCCTTGTTTCCATTTTATGAGGAAGGGTAAAACAAATACCTCTAGCCTTATGTTGGAGAGAAATTCAAAAGCAATCCCGTCCCATCTCTCACATGGCAGTTCATGGGGTGACGCCGGCAACTGCAGGGAGCCAAGAAGAACTATTAATCAATCCTGGCAAGTGGCTACCTGTGAAGCCACCCATGTCCTGATGGCTGGATTGATGAAAGCAAATGGATTGTCTTGGACAAATCTCTTTTCTCCCAGTTGCAGGGCTGCTTCAGCGTTGTATTCTTTAGGACACACAATTCAACAGCAGCTAGATTTGTATAAGGAAAGAAAAATTGGAGGGGGGGAAGCATATTGTACTTTGGCTAGAAGAGGCAACACCAGGAAGACCACATGAACAAAGGACAGAAAGTTATAAGGAAGAAAAGGACCAAATACCACAGTCTACGAAACAAATGCTAAAAGGTACAATCTCTTAGGAATGTCCTGGGAACAAGCTCCATTGATATACATAGAAGAACTTTTATTTTTCTCACTTGTGACTTACAAGAAACTATTCTTCCTACGAGGGACAAGCTCTGCTCATAGATGTGCTGGTGAGGGTTTCAAATTCTTGCCCTCTGATAGGTTTAGGTATCTGGCTGTAACTGTTGGAGGTTTGATTCCCCACTGTGCCTCTTGCAAGTAAAGCCAGCCTGTGTGACCCTGGGCAAGCTGCACAGTCCCAGGGCACCCTTGAAATAAAGGAACGGTAAACTACTTTTGAATATTCTTGACCTGGAAAACCCTGGAAAGGGTCATCGTAAGCCAAAATTGATTTGGCAGCATATGATTATCATTATATTAAAGCTATCTTTAGAACTTTGCTTTATGGTGCAGACCAAAAACCCAACCCGAACCAAACCAATCCTTTTCTGAGACGGTGGAAAAAGCTCTAGAAAAAAGCCCTACAGAAGACACAGGCATGAGAGGGGGAACATTTCACCTTTCTCCTTTGAAAATAACAGTGTTACAATTAGACCTTTCAATTTATCCATTTTTGGCTCTGTCTTTCCAGCTTACAAAGAGAAAATGAAGGAGTTGTCCCTTCTGTCACTGATCTGCTCCTGCTTCCACACCCAGCCACACCCAAACACCATCTACCAATATGGAGGTAAGTGAGACAAAGACCTGCAGAAAACCAGTGCCGTCAAGTTCACTACTGTTGCCTAGAAATACACAATCCTGTTTCACACTGGTGAAGGTATCTCGTGTCCTTTTTAAAGATTCTTGCCCTTAATCTTGTCTTCGAATTAGGATTACAGTTGAGCTTCAAATTAGGATTACAGTTTATTCTTGCCCATAATCTTGTCTTCAAATTAGGATCACAGTTGAGTTTGGAATAAGAAGTTATTTTCTCAGCATCTGGAATTTCTCTTGTCTTTTCCCACTGGCTTGAAGTGCTTTCACATTTGGTGGTTCAGATCAGGACAGGGTCATAAATCCATGTCCACCCTTTGATGACCGTAGCAGGAAGTGGTGGCTTGCACATGTTAATGCTCTAATACAGAACAAAACCACACACACAGGCCACTTCACGGTGCTTTGAGGTTTTTCAGTTGACCTTAAGTGGTTAGTCGCCGCTTTAAGTGGTTAGTCGTCCATTCTCTTGTCCTGCCTGATCCACAGTTTCCCACCACCAATGGCCATTCATTCTGCAGCTTAGCAAACGGAGTGGGGACCTGAGGCCCCTTCCATGGGTCTGCATTGATTTCACTTGAACTTTTTATATAGCTTTTGTTCCTTTACTTTTTTTGTTGAAAAAGGAAGAGGAGAAACAAATTTAAAAAAATAAGTGATTAAAGTTATTTCATCTGCTTTCAAGTTACCAGGGAGTAATCAAGTCGCACAAATTACATGTGATTTAATTATAATTCTATTTAAATCCCAGTGAAGTCAATGGTATTTTAGTAGGATATCCTTAGGAAGGCAGCCTTTGTGTGGCACTGAAAACTGTCTTTTCACTATTCTCAGACTGTATGGGTTTCACATGTCAAATGCATAGCTTTATAGTAGCAGTATGTAGGGCCGAGGAAAGGAGAGACCTTTAAAGGAGCAGTAAGACCAATAGTGATTTCTTGGCCCAAATCCTGTTGTTTAATGTAGTGAATCATACTAGAAATGAGCCCATTGAATCTATGGGGATTTAGTGAGTCAACTTCTCTGTATGTTCCATTGATTCAAATAGGCCTATTGTAACTGTGGCTTTCTATGCTGAGCATCAGCATGTTGTTCTTAGGACATCTCCCTCATTCCTGTACTGGTATCTTCCTTCTCCAGCTCCACCACTGGTTAGTACTGTTTCAGTGTCCTACAAGCAATTCAGGGCCCGTTCCATTCCTCAGTGTGCTATTCATTCAACCACTGGATTGGGCTCTATTGTGCTCAAGAAACATGAGGTCATCCAAGACAATTGCACAACACAGAGACGCACACCTTAGTTGATACCTTATACCATCAGATTACATCCTGCTACTTACAGCTGCATATCAGGAACTAGGCTTGATGCTTACAAACAAATCTGCACTTACATACACAAATCCTAATATTTCTAAAGAAAATTCTGCACACAGGAAGGAGAGTTAAAGTGGGAAGGCAGTCTGGAGAACTATTAGAATATATTCCAGAAACCAGTGTTGTTGTTTTTTAAAGTTATGCACCAGCAATGGGCATGACACAACCATACTTAGAACTGACACTGTGATTCATTTCTTCTGTGCAGATATGGAGGTCAAGCAGCTGGACAAGAGGGCTTCTGGTCAGAGCTTTGAAGTGATTCTGAAGTCACCTTCTGACTTGTCTCCCGAGAGCCCTGTCCTCTCCTCTCCCCCAAAGAAGAGGGACCTCTCCCTGGAAGAGCTGCAGAAGAGGTTGGAGGCTGCGGAAGAGAGGAGGAAGGTAATGGGATGGCCACAGAATGGCTCACCAGTTGGTCTAGAGCCTTCCTCGAACTGAGCTTTGGAGCCTAAGCCAGAACTAAAATCACACAGTGCTTTGGGAAAAATCTTTGGAACATTGCCATTCAGATTTCCAGAACTTTGTGTATAAGCAAAAGCAAATGCCATTGGAGGAATAGTCAGTCAAAATCATACTTATTACTAATATTCAATCAGTAACATTAAAGCCAGAATCTAATGATAGCACATGATTGAATAAATAGCATATAAGCAATAAGAGGCATTTTACCTGCCATCTGCCATCCACCTTGTAATCTTCTAGGCATGCAAGTGACAACCAACAAGTCGTGAAAACCATGCTGTCACATGTGTAGTATCTTGCAATAAGGTTTTGGTCTAAGTAAGACATGGGCTATTTGTATTTGCATCCCTGGGGGTATGTATCATGGCACCACAGAGGCCAATTTCCTCCCCACCAGAACCAGCCAATTCACTTGGTGAGCACTGTTCACCGTACATTGCTCGGCTCTGCCATTGTGCCAATCCTAGAAGGAACTCAACCAGCTCTTCTCTGCCTCCCCAGACAGCCAACCAGTCACTGGCTGAGTAGGGAGACTCCCCATCCCACCTCCATGCCGAAGGGGTTGGCTAGGCGTATTCTGCAACTGATGCAAGAACAATGATGAGGGAGCCAGTCACTGTGCAGCAAAGTGTGGCTGGCTGGCTAGTTCTGGGGGGGGCAGGGGCGGAAATGGGCCTCCGTGGCACCTGTGGTGCTGTGATTCGTATCCGTATCCCCAGGGACATGAATATGAATAGCCCATATCTAGTCTTAAGCATTTAAGGTGATTACTGTTTTACCAGACAGCTTTATGGTTGTCATGAACACTAAGTCTATCAGCAAAACGGTGACTGGATGATGCAACACTAACCTCTTCCTTTGCAGTTGAATCATAAGTAATCACAATAGCCAGGGAGGAAAATAAAGTGTGAACCTGCTTGGGAAGAAGCAGCTCAGTAATAATTTAAAAGAAAATCTAGAAAGTAATATGATTGAGTTCATTGATAGGGAACAACTTTCTAGATGTCCTATGTTTTATTAGGAGGCTAAAGATGTTGGTTTAACGTGCAGCTATAAGAGACGTTTGAGGGGAATTGGGGGACCTATTGTTTAAAAGAATGTAAGGCCTGTCTCTGGTGATGGCATCGCAGCCGCGCAGGACTTCTTGTGTGTTTTTCAAGGTGAGGGCAAGGGCGTCTGTCATAAAGGGCAGACAGGCATGATGATGAACTGAACTCACCAAGCTCGAGAATCCATTGGGGAAAGGATGCCTAGATTTTTCCTATGACAGAGGGACGAAGAATTGGCTACGGACAGGCTGTATAAGGTCCTCTGGTTTGTTGTGTTCCTTGTAGAGCCAGGAGGCCCAAGTCCTGAAGCAGCTGGCTGAGAAGCGGGAGCATGAGCGGGAGGTGCTTCACAAGGCCTTGGAGGAGAATAACAACTTCAGCCGGCTGGCTGAGGAGAAACTCAACTACAAGATGGAGCTGAGCAAGGAGATCCGCGAAGCTCACCTAGCTGCTTTGAGGGAGCGACTCCGCGAGAAGGCAAGTGCTAGAAACTCTCACCTAACCAAACCCCAGAGTCACACATGCCTAATGTTACTTGTGATATGAATAGCACAACCAGTTCAGCTCACGGAACAGCTGATACTCAGTGGACTCCCGCTCTCAGGTCTTAATAGGGTTAACAAAATAGGTTTTTGCTGCAGCTGCCACACACCCTGAACACACTGGACCCAGTTAAAAACACTACACGAGACAGCAGAAGATCTCTGATTAGATCTTCGGTTGGCTTTTGAAAGGCAAATGCCATAGTTAGGGTAGGAGAGAGAAGGGGTTGTAAAAATCCTTTCCTTCTGGTGTTACGTTTCCCACTCTGCACCATTTTTCTAAGCTGAAGCTCTTCCCCTTTTCCCCAGAGATGCTCTCTGGCCCACAAGGCAAAACATACTGGTACTATGATGGAAGCCTTATCCTCTCTGGGAGGGAATAATTTGGAAAAGAATACAGCACAGGAAGAGAGCATTAAACTCTTTCCCTCTCCGTGCTGATTCCCATACCTTGATTCCCACACCCCCAGTGGTAGCTGTCCTTTAAAAAAGCACAGCCATTGGCCATTCAATCATGGATCTAACCTAGAATCAGGCACACTGAATTTAGATTTCAGTGGAATTAATCTGCTGCTGAATTGTTGCAAAATTTATATTTCTTCCCTCACAAACGACAAAAGGTCATGAAGTGCCTGATCCTATTGTTGTTTGTTTAGTCGTTAAGTCATGTCTGACTCTTCGTGACCCTGTGGACCAGAGCACACCAGGCCCTCCTGTCTTCCACGGCCTCCCAGAGTTGGGTCAGATTCATGTTGGTCGCTTCGATGACACTGTCCAGCCATCTTGTCCTTTGTCGTCCCCTTCTCCTCTTGCCTTCACACTTTTCCAACATCAGGGTCTTTTCCAGGGAGTCTTCTCTTCTCATGAGATGGCCAAAGTCTTGGAGCCTCAGTATTTATAGTTATAAATCTGCTGGAGCTCCTGGCCCATCAGTTCATCTATCCCTACTCTAAGTAGCGTTCACAACTGGTATCATTTCCATGTCTTTCAGGAACTGCATGCAGCTGAGGTGCGCAGAAACAAGGAGCAACGGGAAGAGATTTCTGGATAAAGGGCTTTTCTACACAACTAGCACCTGCTTCCTAACAACTAACAAACAAATCCCAACACTTTTTTTTTAAATCTAGATAAGGCAACATCGAATTTCTCCATTTTTGTTTCCCCTACTCTTTCTTCCTTCCCGTGTAGCAAGCTACATCTCTCTCCCCTCTCTGTATCCTTAATTTGTGGAGGGGTTCAGATGAACCTCTCTCAGCAGAATAGCAATTAACACACACATTAACTATAGAATCCATAAACCAGCTTCTCTTTGGGCTATTGTTCAGAAAAAAATAATAATCTTAAACTAGTGCACAAGAATTAAGACCACGAATAGGATGCGTTCAGCGGCGTTGTTCTCTAAGAACCACCTGCTGCTCCTGCATCTTTCCTCCCAGGTCAAGGAAGGATATAGGATTGGACCAAGAGGAGCACTTCCTTGTCAAAGAAGGCAATCAGGATGATTCACCCACCACGTCTTTTTTAGGTATACACCTATGTTTGTTTTGAGTGTACAATGGAAGTGTAGAATGAGGACAACTGTGTGTTTGCAAACAAGTGTCTTGCATCCATAGGCTCAAACCATTGGCTGCACTGAGCATCGTTTCCATGGCCAATCCCGGCCGGCCACAGTGTAATGGGCCCAAAGAGACCCTCTGCTTTCTCAGGATCTGAAGGAGGGACTTGGAAGGCTTGAGGGACTTGGTTGGAAAATGCCTTTTTGCAGCTTAGTTTGTTTTCTCTTCTACTGACCGATTTCTAGCAGACGAGAGACTTTAGCAAGTAGGCCACACACACAAAAAAGAGAAGCACAGCAAGCATGATCCGCTGCTCTGTTTTGCCTTAGGCATCATCATAGCTATAGAATTACATGTTCCTTTAGGATGAATTTCTCTTCAGGGTTCGGGGATCCCCCTTGCTTCAACGGGGAGTTGTGTTTGATGACCCTCGGGGTCTCCTCCAGCTCTTACAGTTCTAGATTTGATGGCAACACCCAGGTTTCATGTTGTTAAAAAAAAAAAGCATCTCGACATTTCAGACACCAGTTCAATTTGGTCACAAAGGTCATAGGAAAATTGCATGCCTGCACAAGAGCCTGGAAGGCTCTAGTTAAACACTGCCAGTGGGGATAGTAAGCAGCACCTTGTGAGAAGTATTTCAAGGGATGGACGTGAGTAACGTTTATGGGTCTCTCTTTAAAAACAAAGCAAGCAGGAGCCTTTTAAAAAAGAAACTCTGATAGTCACAGCTTCAAACATGTAGGGAAGAAACCGCTTGAAATAAATAAATAGAGAATTGTAATGTACTGGAATGTGTGCATCTTGCATTGATTTATGAAGCTGCAGTGATAAAAGGGTAGAAGCCACAGAATATCTGATTGCTATTATGCACCAAAGTAGTAGGTGTAAGTGGCAGGAGTGTTCACCTGGATAGCTGAAAATTCTGTTTAAACCAATTCACACTCTATTTTTAGGAACTATCCATGTTTAAATGACAAAATACATGCATGGAACAATCTGCTGTGTCAGCCAGATAATATTTGTTATTTCACCACTGAGTCACAATGAAAGAATTAAAAGGAAAATTATTATAACAAAAGAGAGCATTCAGAACAACAGTAAGAAACCTATCTGTTTAACTACTTAGAAAGTAAAAGTGCTTGGGACATAGGCCTGCCTGTACTGTAGAAATAATAATAATAATACAGGTTGCTTTGGCTGAGCAGATGCTGATTCCCCCCAGGTGGCATAAAACCTGGAGGAACTGGACAGAAACAGAACTGCTGGCCAGGAGATGTTGAGCGAGATGGTTTGGCTTTTGTGAAGCCCAGCTCTGGAGATGTTTCTGTAAAAGCAACTCCTATTGAATCCAGGTGGGTCTGCCTCCTAGCCCAGCTTTCCTTTCTCAGCATCTGTGGTTTTTGTTTTGTTTTGTTTTGTTTTTGGTCTTCTCAGTCAGGTCTGCTTTGGTCAATGAGACATCCAGGTCCTTACCCTGCAGGACTTCCCATCCTGAAGAGTAAGATTCCACAGACGTGAAGCCAGAAACTAAAATGGCTATTTACACTCAATCTGGTCCTTTTTGCCAGTGCCCCGTAAGAAGGACAGAGACTGGCACAGATAAGGAGCATACTCTCATGCCACAGTGCTGTTTATTTTTTATTAGATCAAGGATGTACATTAAATTGGCTGCTACCTGGCAACTTTTAGGTAAATGCATTACACATCCTCTATTCGTGGTCCTCCCCCACCAAGAGTGTGCTGCTTATATACTGCCCCACACCACTCAAAGCACTCTCTGGGTGGTTTACAATTTCATTATGCAAGTTACACATTGCTCTCCCCCACCCCAGCAAACTGGATACTCAATTTACTGACCTCAGAAGGGTGGAAGGCTGAGTGAACCTCAAGTCAGCTACCTGGGATTGAACCCAAGCTGTGAGCAGAGTTTTGGCTGCAGCACTCCACTGCACCACAGGGCGGGGGCATCAGCTAAACATGCAACAGCACTGTTTTTTGACTTATGCTCCAGAGAAAAGGTCCTAGCGTGACTGCCGTTATCACAAAAGGTTCAGTCTAGTTAGTGCAAAGGTGAAGTGATCACTGTCATCTCAGTTGAGATACCAGAAACAGACACGGGGACCCTCTAGAAGCAAAGCAGGCCACATGTTAGGCTTAGCAGCTTTGCTAGCCTTGTACAGTAATTTTTTCAGTCCTATTAATACATTACAAAGTCTATTCAATAGCCTGGGAGCTATTCACTTTTCACTTGACAATAATTAATTAATTAAGACTTCTTTGTATCCCCAGAAGGGGCTTTCTTGGCTCTCTCTCAGCAATGCACCAAAGACATGGAAAGTGAGCTTTGCTCTAGCCTGCTACAGAATGGGTCCCAGGGTTTGACACCTGGAGAGCCCCCTTCAACCAGCTCCAATGGCGTTCTCCCATGCTATCTCACGGAACCCCATTTATTCACAATGTCACTGTGCTGGTTAGAAGAGAGTGATTGTCTCTAGAAGGCTCTATTGGGGTTCTGTTAAGTCCTGAATTGGGGAGATTCAAAATCTGTTCCAATACCAGCCCCCACAGGAGTATATATTAACATCTTCCATTGATATTACTCAGTACTGGTATAGCTATTTTGTTGTTGTTTAGTCATTGTGTCCAACTCTTCGTGACCCCATGGAGGTATAGGTATTACTCAGTACTAATTTAGTATCTCCTGCTCTTTTTCTTGTATCTCCTTTCTTAAGTTCTCTTGCATCTATAATTCTTAGTGTTAATGGCTCCCTGGCCAGATCGGAATGGTGACTTCTCAAACATAAGCGTTAGGGTTTTAATGGGCCATGATGCCATTTTGCAGAGACCTATGGTTTCAGTGACACCAGTTTCCCTCCCCATTTCCCTCCCAGTATTAGCCATATCACCTTTTTGGCTTGGCAAGCTATATTGGCCAGAATCCTACTGGTGTCCATGCAATGTTTGTGTCTTGCTGCAGATGATTATGACTAACGGATGAGGTGCCAGGGCACATCTCTGTCATTTGATCTGGCATGTGCCCCAACGCTTTGTCAATTAGCCATGGTTCATTCTGCAAACCTTATGTGAAACACCAGTAGGACTCTGGCCACTGTCTGGTTATTCTCTGCAGTTAAGAAATGGGGCAGGCAAGGACTGCACAGTATTGGGGTGTTATTTACAACTGTATAGAGTACAGCTTCTCTGTGACCCTTCCAGGTGGAACTGACAAACAATGTAGTCTGATTTCAACTGTTAAAATTAGCTGGGCAACAGGGCAAGAAAGTGAATGCTGTGCTTAAAACAGAAAGTTCAAGGAAAGTATGGAAGAAATTAGGTAAACTATTAGGCAATATAGCAAGTGGATATGGTGGGTGGGTAAAGATCCAGCTGAGTCAACACAACCAGCTGACCCCAATCAAGACAAAAATTGGCTGGAAGTCAGTTGGAATCGTGTCCTCCCCATCACATATCCTGGCTCCCACTTAAGAGTAGGAGGACATCTGCGGAAAGCTTTGTATTCTTGAAGGCTTTCATGGCCAGGATCCAATGGTTGTTGTAGGTTTTTCGGGCTATAAGGAAAACCTAAGAACACAACCAAACAGCCCAAAAAACTTACAACCATCGTCGGAAAGCTTTGTATCCAAAGAATGGAGCCCCCAAGTCAAACAGAAATGTTTGTTAAGAAACTCAGAAGGAAACTAGGACTGATAGAAGCAACAGGTAGGGATGAAAGAAGAATCAGGCTTGAATGTAGCTAATGAATCTGTTTCTAAATAGCATCTGTCCTAGATAAGCAGCTGTCTATCACGCAGAATCATCCCATCCATTACAGTAGTGATAATGCATTTTAAAATGTTTAAATAAAATTATTTAAGGAAATTTAAAGGAAAAAAATAAGAGTTTGTGTATAAGAAGTGGTGGCAGACGTCAGTTCCCACGTCCTTTGGCAGGACAAGCGGAAATACCTGCCAGGTGTTAATAATGTCTTACTTGCTGTGGTGCTGAGTGTTTGATTGGTGTGTAAATCTGACCTGCTGTAAATTTTGTTTTTTTAGTACTGTGATTACAATGGCTGATATTGATTATAATAACAATGACAACCAGAAAGGTCATACTTATGAGTACAGGCTCAACAGCAGCATATATTCTGGGACTTATCCATTGGGAGGGGGGGATGAAGCATTTCTAGAGGCAGGCATGGCTCAGGTGGAATAAGACCTAGTTTTCCCTGAGATGGCAAACTTGTGTCTGAGTTGTACCATTGCGGGCTTCAGGTTAGTGCTGGAATGCTCCTCCATAAAGAATTGGTTTCTGCATACAGAAAACCAGCATTTCATTAAAAAAAAAAACTAGGTTAAAATGCCTGTATGCATGCATGAATGCATAACACAGCATTCGGTCACGTAGGCCAGAACCTGCAACCTGGCTGGTACACCCCTCACACACGTATCCCACCTTGAGGACAGCAAGACCAGGCCTGTAGCAAAAATGAGATGCCTGTACAGTACTGGCCTTGTTGCTTATTGGAGTAGCTGAGAACAACTAAGAGCATTAATAAAAATCAAGAAGAAAAGGAAGGCAGGATTTAGCAGTTTGTTGGGTAGAAATGGAGAGAATCTGATCTAGCCATGGTGGGAGGAAAATAGTTGAGTGGTGGAAATTTCCTGAAGAGGGAACTGGCAGCCTCCTAGACTAGATGATCCAGCCTGACTTTTTATAGAACAGAAAGCAAAAGCAAGTGTTTGTTAGTGATCTCTTGAGGTAGAAGCTCTCTCCCAGTTCCTCCACCTGCAGTTGCCAAGCCTGTGTTTCTGTGACTGCTTCCCCCCGGAGGTCCCCTTGGATCTTTGGCATCCATGCACCACTTCCAAAGCATGCATGTTGCATGATGATGCATCATCACAGTCTTGATTGGGGGCATCAATTCACTGAATATTTGACCTTCTGAGGACAGAAATAAATATTGGAAGACTTAAACCGTGATTCTATACGGGGGCGGGGGGCACAGTTAATCCCAGGAAACAACATATGGTTCAGTCTAAGGACTGATCTGTATGATTTCACTTCGTCAGGGCAGCTACGTTGTGGTGGCCCTGGCTGTTGCTGGATTACAGCTACCATCAGCAGAAGCAGTAGGTGGGGGAGACTCATCTATATACACACGGAAGTCATCCTGTTGCATTTCAATCCAATGATTAACTAGGACTAGCCTTTAGGCAGCCCACGGTGCTCACTTAGATATAAGGAATGGAATCTTTTATTTTCTTTGCCTTAAGTCTTTCTGTGTTTGAAAAATTAGCAGGCCTATCCAAGAAAAGGTGCGCTCAGGGGATGCGGATGTTATCAGGAAAAGAAAAAGAACATGTTATCAGGAGGGAGTTTTGACCAGTCATGTATTTCTGACATAGTAGCAGTGTCTGAAAGAAATTACCGAATGTATCAGGGGCTGTACAACTGAATATATGGCAGACACCGGGGAATGGATTTCTCCAGCATCAGTGGGTGCATAAAAACTTGCTTTTTAAAATACCACTGGATATGTTTATTAATTAATTTAAATTAAAACGTGTGCTTAAGGAGATTGTACTCATTTTAGAATGAAAATTGGAGTGGGGCACATCAACAGGCAAACACCCAATTTAATAAATGACAAAGAAGGCTCATTTACAGTACACAAATCCATGGTTAAGTTCATGTTTTTCCTAGAGGACTGCCGATAATGACGTGGTTTGTGTTACAACTAGGCTTTTTTTTTTTTTTTTGCTATCCCTCCATTTCCTTTCTGTACCAT